ATTGCATATAACTTGAACTGTGCAGTATTTATACTTTTATAGACATTTATTTCAATGGCCCAGTGTTCCAAGATTTATCCATATTGTAGAATACATGATATGTTGTAGAATTTATTGCTTTTTAAAGGCTTAATACTATTCTACTGCGTGTGTGTATCTCATTTTCTTTACTTATTAATCTTGTTGTGGGCATTTCAGTTGTCTCATCCTCCAGGTTATCATTAAATAATGTTGCAGTGAGCATTGGTATACAAATACCTATTTAAAATCCTGTGTGTGTGTGTATATATATATATATATATACATATGTATATATATGTATGTGTATAAAATTAATTAATTAATTAATTAATTTATTTATTTATTTATTTATTTCAGGGTCTTGCTACTCAGCTCAGATTCTCCTGTCTCAGCCTCCCCAGCACTGGGATGATAAGCCTGCCCCACCAGACCTGATTTATCTGGGGCTGGTATGGCATGAGGTATCAGAGATCAAACTCAGGAACTTGCCCTTGCCAAAGAGGACTGCTGAGCTATTTCCCCAGCCCCAAGACCTTGTTTTAAAAGCTATCTTGTTTTAAAAGCTTTCCTGTTTTTGGATATAAAGCCAGAAGAGGGTTTCCTGGATCATAAGACAATTCTATTTTTAATCTTTTTTTAAAGGAACTTTAATATTGTTTTTTATAGGAGCTGCACCATTTTATATCATGGTCAATGGTGCAGAGTTCAATTCTTCCATATCTTGGTTAACACCCATAAGCTTACTGACTTATTTTTGATGGTGGTTATTCTAATGGGTGAGAGATAATAATTCAGTATGGTTTTGATTTATATTTCTCTAGTGATTGAGTGTATTTTCCTATACTTATTGTAAAATATCATATCATTAGAAAAACACCTATGCCTATCCCTCATTCAAGTTTTTGAAGCTTTCTCTTTTTTATTATTTAGGCTTATGTTGAAAATGGAATTAAATTTTTCAATTACTCTTTAAAAAGTAAATATTAATTAATGAATTTACTGTTGTACTTAAAATATCTATGCTTAAGGTGGGAATCTTTGCTGATAGAAAGGTGCTGCTCCAAATCATGAATGGTATTATGAAGAACTGAAATTTCTTTGTTTTTTCCTTCTTGAAGATGTTTAAGCTTCCTTCTGTAGATATTTGGTGGGGAAATAGTAGCATGTATTTTTTAAAAATTTAGTACAGGGTCTTACAGGGCCTCACTACACAGGTCAGACTCATAGTGATTCTCCTATTTTCAGCCTCCCAAGTGCTGGGATTATAGGCGTGTATCACTATGCCCAGTCTCAATTGCCATCTCAGTGTGCTGCAGGGGGGCGGGCCAGCATGACATTCCAGGGATTGAACCCTGGTCCCTGCATCTGCCTAAGCAGGTTCTTTAATCCTCTGAGCTATCTGGCTGGCCCTCAGAATCTGGGGTTTTGATTTATTCTGAACTCTTGCTAGTTTGGGATCAAATTCCAGCTGTAGTTTGATTATTTCACTTTGCTTTTCCTTTTGTTGAGTTACTAACTTTGCATTTAACTCTGAAATTTCCATTTGCTTCTTCTTTATTAGATCTTTGTGTTTTTCTTCACTTTATTCAATGTTTTCCTGTGTATCTTGATAAAGTCTGTTTATTTCTATCTTATGTTCCTCTTCTTTGATTTTCATTTCATGTGCAAGTTTGGTGATTCTATTCTTATTTTCTGTTCTAGAGATTTTAGTATTTTCTTTGTCCTATCAGATTTTCTTTTTAGTTTTTCATTTTCACTTTTCAAATTGTGTTGATATTCAATAGTCTGTTGTAGCCCTTTTATCATATCGTAAAGAATAGCACATTCTTTTTCAAATGAGACTTCCTTTGTTTGTATTACTTTTAACAAAAAGTCTTTTCCACCTGAATATCCAGTATACAATTTTTTCCACTGGCTTCTATAATTTTCTTTCCTATCTGTGAGAAATCCTTTATAAGTCTGTCAATATTCGCACCACTAATCTTTTTGTATGCCCTTCACTGTTTTAATCTGCATTTGAATGACTATTGCTCCTGATTCATGAAGATCTCATTCAGCTTTTTAAAGTTGGATTTTTATTGTTGCTGAATTGTTCTTTATAAATTCTAGACATTAACCCTTTCAGATATTTTGCTTGCAAACATTTCTTCCCCCTTTGCAAGCTTCCTCTTCAGTCTGTTGCTCATTCCCTTCATTAAATAAATGTTTTCATTTGACGTTGTCCATTTATCTATTTTTGCATTTGTTGCCTAAGTTTTGGTGTAATTCCCAAGAAATTATTGCCAAGTCTAAAATCATGAGGCTGCTTCTTTATGATTCTGCTAGGTTTTAGCTTTAAGTTTTTGACCCAGTTTTTGTTAATTTTTGTATGTTGTATAAAGGCCTACTTTCATTCTTTTGCATGTGGGTAAGTAATTTCTAAACCAAAATTATTGAAAGACTATGTCTTCCTTGTGGTGTAGCTTTGTGCATGGTTGCAGATCATAGCATTTCTTAAACTGGGTTCACTTCTGGGTCCTTTACTTTATTCTGTTGGGTTTTTTTTCCAGCTTGATGCCAGCACCAGACTGCTTTGATTGGCATAGTTTAATCGCTGATTTTGAGTCAGGACCTGTGAGCCCCCTGACTGCTTTTATTTTTCCTTATATTTAGAGTAGCTTTTAAAACACTATTTCTTTTTTACTTTACTGTGAAGCAGGTTTTTAGTTTGAAGCAATCTCCCCTAAGACCACAGCACTGCTCTGCTCCCGTCTTCCACTGGGGTTGTGGGTCTGAGATGGGTGGAGCTCAGTGTCCTGCCCAAGGCCAGCTCACCCTGTGTGGGGAGACCTTGCTGCCTGTCCAAGGTTCTGCTTCACCCCCTCCACCCCGACTCCAGGACCCCTCCTGGTCATCCAGGCAATCTCAGGCAGCCGCACACAGCCCTGGGCACGCCAGTTTTCCTCTTCTTCGCTCTCTCCCACAGGCGTCCATGTCCAATTCTCTCACTCACTCTGCTCACTTCTGTCCTCAGGTGCCACTGGCCAGTGAGGACTTCCTTGAGCACTGGGTGAAAATCAGCACCCCAATGTCTCTTACTTTCTCTTTATTTCATTTTGTGACTGCTGAAAATATGTATTTTTCATATTAAATTACTCATATTTAATTTGTTATCATTTTATCCACTAATAGGCGAATTCCACAATTGCATTCTCTAATAAATGACTATTTCTCATGAACTAGAAAAATTCAAGGTACACAGATGAGCTTCCAAAATACTCTTAGGGAGTTCATTATTTCAACATGCCCACATTTCTTCATGTGTAAGTCAGAAGACTGAATCAATGAATATTTCTATTTTAAAGATTCTGAGATTTTAGATACTTATTTTCTGTAGACAGAACAAAACAGGAGAAATACACACAAGTGTAGGAAAATGGAAAAAGATTAGACAATGATTTGAGGGTCTCCTTTGTTTGGCTTTCATCCTGCCTGTCCAAGCAGAAAAGCAGTGACGCTCTGATTCCTGTATGCTGAATCAAATGTCTCAACATGGTGACACACTCACAACACTAGTGTGACATTGCCTGTGAGCTTAGAGGAGGTGGCTTCATATCCACCTTGGGGAACAAAAGGTGGATGAGTAGAAAGCTAACTAGAAATCTGGGAGGGTCTTGATTTCACCACATGACATATAGAAATTGTGCAGTTCATGATGTCACATGGAGTCCATGCTGATCAGAAAGCACCTGGAAGAGAGCTCAGGAAGGATGGTGTCTAAGGGCCAGAGGATCCGCTAGATATTTATAAGACATACTTAAAAGACTTAATGTAAGGGTGCTTAATCAAATGTCAAGGGAAAAAGACAAAAGTGAATGCTTTATTTCATTCTGTTGCTTTCCAAAGTTGTTCATTTTTTTTTAAGAAACAGCTTTGATATGTTTTTTTTAGAACTTGAAAGAAAGCCATTTCTGTGTTTAGAAGCTACATAAAGGCATCCATCTCCAGTACTAAGACACAGGGGCAATTTACTTCATGAATCAAAGTGAAATTAAGTTTTAAGTAACTAACAGAGCTGACCACATACTGCTATATAGACACCAATTTTAATAATCATTGTTCACTGAATATGTGAATTTTTAGTACAAAGTAGAAACTATAGTTCAATCTTTCAAGAGCTATGAAGTAGTCTACAGATGGATGTGTAGTTTATATTTGTTTTCTTTAGGAGTTGTCTTATATATTACAAGGTATATGAGTTGTGTTTTCTGAAGGTTCCTTTCAGACTTACATTATATACAAAATAGGTTCTGTTTATCAGAGTTACCTTGCTACAGATTTTTCTTTTTTTTGTATTGGCAGCTGAACTTATGACCTCATACTTGCCAGGCAAGAGCTATGTCAGTGAGCTAGATCCCCACCCCCATCACTGGTACAGAGACAATAAGAAACACCAGGGATGGAACCTGGGCCCTTGTGCTTGCCAGGCAGGTGTTTAGAGAGCTGAGCTAATTCCCTGGCCCCAGTGTTCTATAAATTCTTAGAAGCATGTTTCTTTCCAAGAATAGTCACATGGTACCAAAGTCATCTGTCTTGTGGAGCTTGGAGTCTTTGTGCTGATGTCACAGATTACTGCCAGCCTTATACTTCTCTTTGGCAAGGCCACATCTGTGACTACAGTAGGATAAAGTGTCATTATGAAAGACAAAGTTGTCACATTCATTTTGTTTGTTTGTTTGTTTGTTTTGGCTGGCTCAAACTGCCCTGAGGGCAGTGCTGGCTTGGCATGTGGTGGTGCCAGGAATCGAACCATGGTCTCCTGTGCCTGTCTAAACTTACCTAAGTAGGTGCTTTAAGCCCAAAGCTGTCACATCCTTAATTTCGCTAGAGATGCACAGGGAATATGGGGCAGAGTTTCTTTTGCAATTGTGGGCTGGAGAACAATCTGAGGCCATTCCATGCACGCATGTGTCGAACAGCAACAGGAACCTCATACTCACTCATGTTGGGGAAGTTCAGTAGTGTTGGATGAAGGCTTGAAAGTGAGGGATTCATCACTGTCTCTTTGGTGGTGACAGATTCATTCTTTATGACAGCATGGGTTGTGCTTGCTGTTTATTAAAAAACAAAAACAGCAGTCATCAGGGGCACAGAAGATCACTGGTGAGTCTCTCTGGTGTTCGTATTAAGGTCCGATCATGACTTGAAGACTAGCTGCTGAAAGCATTCTGACCAAGATTTAAAAATCAAGTATTTTAATGTCAACCTTTCAGTGACACAGTTATTTTGAATAAGATGGGGCTACATAAGGTTGTTCTTTGTTTGCTTTAAGTAATACCATTTGATTATCAATGTAATTCTATAAAGGAAGCAATCTCTTTGATCATCCTTTTATGTATGAAACTCAGAGAGGTCCCTTAATTGCCCTTTGGTCACACATCTCATAATAGGAAGGAACCATGGCCTGCATCATATATA